GTCAATCTGATCTGTTATTTTGCATGTGAAATATGTTGTCCGGAAAGTGCGTCATTTGCCGGTTTTGAAAATTGTTTCAATATTAATGTCAATACCTTGCTATCGATTGTTCGTCCTAACAACAGTTTAACATGTTTTCTTTATTACAGTATTTCCAAGGTTCTCGCTTTCCCTCAAACACGTTTGCCTCTTCGTTCTGGTGTTACAAACATCGTCGCTTGTCCTCACGATGCGTTACTCAAGAACTACCCATAAAGAGGGAGACCCAATGTACATCGCCTCTACTGCAGTAGTCTTCGCGGAAATTTTCAAGATCCTGGCATGTGTGTTGATAACTTTTCATAGATCTCAGTACAGATGGTCTGTCTTTGTGAGAAGTTTACGGGAAGAGATTTTCGATAAACCTTGGGAGACATTAAAGCTAGCAGTACCTTCTGGATTGTACACTGTTCAAAATAACCTTCTGTATGTCGCGCTTTCAAATTTGGATGCTGCCACGTATCAGGTCAGTGAATATTGGTTTTTGAACAAGCTTGAGGTCGAGATTTATGTAGGTAAACTGAGCAAGTGCAAGTTTCAGATGACTGAGTGTGTAAATTCTTGTCAACTTCCCTTGGTTCCCAAGCCGGAGTGACCCACTTCTAACAAAAATATTAATATTCATTCTTAAGAGCACCAGAGAACAGACTTCCTACAACTGTTAAAGGAGCTCAGTCAAGATGTTCTGAGTTGTTTTTGGCGAGTACAAAATTACCTTTTGTTTAAAGGAAACCTGAAAACAATAGTTTACTACATGTTGGATTGGAAAACACTATAGAGATAACAATAAGCCATATATAAACAAGGATAGTTAAGGATGGAAAAGATTGACACAGATTACAAACAGCAAACTGTAAAAATTTAGGCTAAACTTTTCAAGATTCGCAAACCGTGATGTAGCTCCTTTAATTGCCTATCTGAGAAAAGTCTATTTTGTCCCAAATACTGGTAAGCGTTGCTCTCTCTCAATTCGTGTTTGAGAGGTGACAGCTACTGGTACATGTAGATGTATAAAGGTATAGAACTTGCAAATAATGCATTTTAAATGTTCTCCTTAATTAAATAGTGCATCAGTCCCGGTATAGTCAATGAAAAGTTCATAAATCGAACTCAGTTGAACTTAATCAAACTCAATCCGTGGTTGAGTTCAATTGAGTTTGATTGAAATTCAGTTTGACTGGGTTTTATTGGCTATTTCGGGATCAGTATGAGACTGAAGCAGAACCAGTGATTTGGTGGTAATTGTCATGGTTATGATTTCAGGTTACTTATCAACTCAAGATTTTAACAACAGCATTATTCTCAGTTTGTATGCTACATAAAAAGTTAGGCATGCTGAAGTGGGTTTCTCTGCTCCTTCTTATGTTTGGGGTGACTCTAGTTCAGGTGAGACTTTCTAACAATTCAATATAGTTATATGACTCTTCAAATCAAGTTTTGTAAACTTTTGTAACACACAGCTTAGGCCTCTTCATTTGCTTTATGATATAGAGGTAATGGGGCAAAGAACACTTAAGCACGCTTTTTCTATGTTTTATACTCTGATAAAACATGGGTTTTTGACCAATCAGAGCACACGCAGGGTCCTATCTATATTATAATAAATAATATAAAGACAAAGGACACACGAGGTCGGACAATCAAAACGCAAAGTTACATGTAATACATGTACATGTAGTGGACACCAAGTGTGGGCAAAACTGTAGTTTTACTTCTGATTAGATGAAAAAGTGGCTCAAGATTTTTAAGCCAATTGTGTAGCGCAGTAATGCAAAACCAATAACTTTCAATAGCACTCAAGTAAAAACCACTCTATATATAACTACATTTGATTCATTTGTTTGTTTGTTTGTTTGTTTGTTTTGCTGTGGCCAGTGGCATCCAGATGCTGTCAAAGAGACTGCATCAAAAGAACGTTCTGCATCAGAACAGTTTATTGGTCTTGTAGCTGTTCTCACAGCTTGTTGTTCCAGTGGGTTTGCTGGTGTCTACTTTGAGAAGATTTTAAAAGGATCCAAGGCCACCATATGGATGAGAAATATCCAGTTAGGTATTGTACTCTCATGATGTTTGTTTTAAGTCCTTACTGCTGGCTCGACTTAAAAGGTAGCCAACTGACACTGATACATAATTGACAGAAAGTAACCACAGACTACAATTGCCTATTGTATATGTACATGTACATATGTACGTGCAAATTGTCAGTCATTTAGTCACTCAGTTGGGTCGGCAGTCAGACGGTCAGTCAGTCAGTCAGTCACCCACTCATTCACTCAGTTGGGCAGTCAATCGGTCGGTCAGTCAGTCAATCATTAGCAAGGGGCTTCCTAGTGGGGTATAGGGCAAAAAGAGCATGAGCCAAGTGTGGTCTGCAATATCTCTTAAGGAAGATCTCTAGTACCTCACTACAAAGCTTGTCCACAGCCTATAATATTATCAGCCATTCAGTCCGTAGGAAGAACAGTTGGTTGGTACAGTAAGTCAGTCAGTAAATTGCCTGCTGTCCTGCTCTCCCTCCCTCCTTATCTCTCTTCCACCTCTCTCTCTGGCCTCTCCCTCCCTCCTTCCCCACTTTCCTACTTAGTTTCCCCCTTTCTTTCTTTCCTTCCTTTAACCCTCGCCCCTCTTTTTTGTGTACATTCAATTCATGTACTTTTTTGTAACCACATTTCACAGGATCTTTTGGTATAATATTTGGCTTGATTGCTGTGTATGTAAATGATGGAAGTGCTGTACAAAGTCAAGGTTTTCTTCAAGGTTACAACAGAATCACATGGATAGTTATTGCACTTCAGGTAAAATTTACAATCAGAGTAGAAACTCTGATTATGTCTGGTTGCAAGTACATGATGAGTGTGAAATAATGGTGAATCAAGTGGCCCGGGTTCGATCCCTGGCTGGGGACATTTTGTTGTATTCTTGGGCAAGGCACTTACAAGTAACAGACAAAAATTGGCTGTTTTGTGTGTAGGTTAAATGGTCCCTATCAGAGCATTTTTCTCTATTTTTAATCAAAACTGCCCAGCGACATGTTTGTTCAGTTTTTACTTACACAAAACATTCCTGGATCCACTAAGATGGAGGATATTTAGGGTACATTTAACAATTTTTCTAAAACAAAATGTAACATCTGTCTGGCTTACTGTATTCAATTTGAGAGGAAAATTGTTCTTTCTAACATTCCTGACATTAACATAACTAGACTGCATGTATTTTTTTTTGGAGGGGGGAGAAATGAATTCCTCTGATGTAAATACACTGTATCTCTTACACTTTATACTCTTTGAAGTGACACATATATAACATCCTTTTAACATTGTGAGTTTTTGGACAGATGTGCCAAGACCTTCCAGTAAGGCATTGTTTATTATACAGTAAAAACATGCATGTAAGAACCTAGTGGTTTAAGAACCCACTAGCATTTTTATATATTTTATATTTTTTATTTTTTATATTTTTCTTATATTTTGGGGTATTGATACCCCAAAATATAAAAACCTGTTAAGCCAAGCAAGATCCAGCAGGTTCTTTTATGTACTCGAGTTATAAACATTTTAACCTAGGAGTCTGACTTTGAGATTGCAAATTTGCATTTACAAGAAAATACGTAAGACAGTCGTGAGTAAACAACACATGTACATTCATGGGCCAAACGGTTTGAAACCCAAGTTTATTTATTTTTCTAGTAATCGACTTATATATCTCCTTCAAAGAAATTAAGAACCTAATTAAAAACCTACTTAGCCTAAATTACCAATAACTACCCTAAAATACAAGTTAGAACCTATTTTGCCAGACTTCAAACAATGTAGGTTTTTACATGTGAGTTTTTACTGTATTTTGTCTTGTGTTTGCAGGCCTTTGGTGGCTTAGTGGTGGCTGCGGTTGTGAAGTATGCAGACAATATTTTAAAGGGCTTTGCTACATCAGTATCAATAATTGTGTCGTCACTCGTGTCATTTTATTTCCTTGGAGACTTCCAGCCAACAAAGTAAGAGCAGTCATTCTTTTACTGTTTATTTTACTCTTACTGTTAAAGATCAAACAAGCAGCATGCAGTCAAACAAGCTTTAGTACTCAAAAGTTGACTTTACCCCCTCTTCTCCTACAGTATACTTTCTGTACACTTTGCCGTCTTCACTCCCAGGGCTCGAAATTGCGACTCACTGGTCGCCAATGCGACCAAAAATTGAGCTCTGGCGACTAAATTTTCGGAACTGGTCGCCANTGCTCTTGTTGTTTCTAATTGTGTTCGCTCTTCAATTGTGACTTTTTTTGCATGCAAAGTAGTGTATAAAATCGTGTTCTTGTGTAAGTTATGTATAAAATAAGTTGGCGACCAAAATTTTTCCGTTAATTGCCAGCTGGCTCTTGAACGAAAAAGTTAATTTCGAGCCCTGACTCCAAAGGGAAGCAAAGGGCTCAACTGTGGCTCCCCACCAAACTTTAATGAGCGCTTTTTTCTAGGCCTCTAGCCAAGACAAGTTCTTTGTTTCTAGTTCTTGGAGAATACCATACCTTCACACTTAAACCAGCCCTCGAGCCCTCATAGTCCATTATGGGGAGTTCCCCTCCTCTCAGGTTACCTGTCTTCAAACGAGCAAGCCCTCTCCATAGTTTGTCTACTTATTTGTTCGTTTTCTTGTTGTTCAGTTACATGGTCTCTTCAATCGATGCGCGACTTGTTCATACATGTAGCTACATGTGGTTATCGAAAGCCTGAAAGCACCTCTCATCTGGCCTCGTCACGCAATGCTTCATCTGAGGTGTTGTGTGACAACGTATTCCGACAATGTGGACTTTTTACCTGAAATGTTGTTTTTTATTCTCTTTTTCCTTCAGTTTCTTTTTTCTTGGTACGTGTGGAGTTTTAGCAGCCACATTTCTGTACGGTATGCCTGAGAGGACAACGTCACAGCAAGCACCACTAAAACCTGTGTAGTCAAAAACGCGATCAAGTAATCAGTTTGCTTCAGTAGAGATGTGATTTTATTTGGCAGTACATAGCAGTACATGGATTTATGGGTGAATTAAGTAGGGACAAGAGCGTGGGGAGTGTTTTTGTTTGCTCCCAGAATTACGTCTGCATACTTGTGTTAACACTGTTTCCAAAAAATTGTTTATAAAGTTACGCAAACATCGTTCATTTTTTACGAAGCGTTATTAAGGGAAGGTTGCGAGGGTGTCCGCTTGATAGAGTATTTGCTGTCTGTATTCGGGCTAGGGCAAGAAGGCCATTTGGTCTCTTGCGTTTTCGTTCGCGTCACGAACGACGGTTGCGTCACGCTTGAAGCACTTGGAAGAAAAGGAGGGGCTGTTTGATCTCAAACGCTTAACGCCCCCTCAGATAATGACCCATTTTACGCGCCCCAAAACGCTCTTCGAAAATGATCCTCCCCAGCTTTAACTGCCCAAAAATACCCCCTACACCAAACCGGGTGTAAGTGTTGGCTCTCCTCCAAAATAAGCTCCTGAAATACTTTTTATCGATGAATAATCTTAGAGCTCATTACCGACATTTTACTATAGTATGTACATAACTTATTAGAAGAAAGCTTAGGTACTGTTCATATTTTGTGGGAGTATGGTTTTGGTTTGTATAGGCGTGAATTTTAACTCTCTCGACAATAGAAGGAAACTTGCCCATTAGTGGGTTATTATCAAAATTTATGTGTACATGTATCGCAGGAAAATCTTCAATTCTCTTCATTTGTTGTTGAACAACATGCAACAAATGTTGGAATACCACGCGTCTTATTAACTCCCATGGTGGTTTATAACGTTATTTTAATATTTTAACGACTTGGGTGGCATTATGTGTGTAACATATTAAAATTGAAAAGCTTTTACGGTCTTATTTATTTCTTAATTTATTGTTTCAAATTATGAATTACTTATGGCACTGATAACAATATTGATAATATTAAAAACAGTATATTTATATTATATTGGTATTGTTAAATTTTAAGTTACGTTAACATTGTAAGTAGAGTAGGCATTTTTTTTTTTTCGTATCTAATGTAATGTTATTGCAATAAATTAAAATAAAATAAAATAAAAAATAATTATATTATGTAATAATAATGATAATGATAGTGATAATGATAATGATAATAATAAGGAATTTTATTTCTCTGTGTGAAGTGATCTAGCTGCTGTGAACCACAGGTGCTAATTAACAATTAGACCAATAGCCCATGAGGCGAAGTCGGATGGGCTATTGACCCGTGGCCCTTGAGGGCGAAGGGTCTAATTGTTTTAGTATCACGCAACTAGTCAGACAAAAAAGGCAATAATAAAGTTAGCAAATGCAAGTTGAGGAAATATTTATTTGGGAATAAAACGAAAGAAAGCGTCACGCTCGATTGCGCCAATTTCGCTACTCGAGGACTATTACCAATAGTCCTTTAGTAGCGTAGCCAATTAAAATGCAAGATTTCCATTAATCCACTAGCTGGGTGATACTAATTAGGAATATTAATCACTTGTTTTAAAAGTTGTGCCGTCAGTATATTAGTATGGGTAGCATACTCCCCGCCCGCACCACGGCGGAGAAATTTAACAATGCTGCATGTACATTCAACGGTCATTTTGGATTTGTGTTTGAAAAATACTTACACAGGGAAATCACTAGCCTGCGAACGCAGACGTATTTCCGGCTGTCACTTAGTTCTGTCTGCGAATCCGGGCCAGAAAACGATTTCTGTGACGTAGGAATTCTAGGCCAATCACAGTTTAGCTCAAATAACCCCAGAACTACTGCGCGACTCTGCGCGAGGTATTCGCTGCGAGGAGCACGCGAGTTTCATTCTATCATGGAATCTGATTGGCCAAGGAGAAACAAAAGTCATTACGTCACAGAAATCGTTTTCTGGCTCGGGTTCGCAGAC